ATCAACCAGAATTTTCAAAAGATCCACTTATGGGCTAAACTTGATCTTCTGTCACTTTTTAAACAGCTGACCTTAAAATTCCATGCTTAAGCAGTTCACCTGCCTCGGCCTCTGGAATAGCTAGAGTTACAAGTATGTATATTATATACCCACCACGGCTGGATAATATACATATAAACTCACTCTCATGGTGTGGGTGTGGGTATGTGTGTCTGTCTGTCTCTGTAGTGTTAAAGAGCAGACTCGGGGATTCGCGCATTCTAGGCAACCACAGTATATTTTAGAATGTCAATAGAACTCCTTACATACGAGAATGATATTTTGTCATTTGATTAGCTCGTAGACAAAAAAAAAAAAAAAAAAAAAAAAAGCCTGGCAGTAGTGAGTGGCGGAGCACGCCTTGAATCTCAGCACCTGAGCAGCAGAAGCAGGCGGATCTCTGAGTTCAAGGCCAGTCTGGGATACATAGAAACCATGTTTTGAAACTGTCTCCCCCTCAAAAAAAGATAAGTACTTAGAAGCTCATATTTTACTTGAAAGTATTATAATCATATTTTTCTATTTTTAATAATTTTGCATAGAAGTATAAAACCTTAAGCTGGAATTGACTTTTCTATTTTGCTGCAGAAATAAAGTATGTCTTGGTTAACTATAAATAAGTCATATACTATTACATACATGTAAATTTTATCATTACTATTATTGTTTCTGAGACAGGGTCTTTCTACTTAGCTCTGTCTGTCATGGAACTTACTATGTAGACCAGGCTAGCCTTGAGCTCACATAGATCCACCTGTTTCTGCCTCTCAAGCTCCAGGATTAAAGGCGTGTGTCACTATACCCTGCTTTTTTTTTTTTAATTCATTTCTTTTTATTTTATATGCTTTGCATATGGGTGCTTTTTTTTTCTGTGTAATGCATGTGTGCAGTGCTCTTCAAGGCCAAAAGAGGGTGTGGATTCTCTGTCAGCTGCCATGAGAGTGCTGGAAACTAATGTAGCCCAAGCTGCCCTCAAACTTGCTACTTAGCTGAATGACAGTGAACTCTTTCCATTACCTTACAAGTGCTGGATTGCAGAACCTAGGTTCTCTGGAAAAGCAGCCAGTGCTCTTAACCCCTGAGATATCTCACCAGCCCCACACACCCAAAAATTAATATATAGCTCTCTGGCTCTAAGACTCTAGCTCATCGAATGACCAAAATGGGGCTTAGTAGGAATCCATGTATGTTTGCCAATAAACTAAGAAAACTGTGGGGTTTCTAATTAACCACAAATGATACAGCAGCAGTATTGTAGAGCCTCTGAGAGATTGAGTGCAGATATAAGTCACAGTGGTGAGCAGCAGCATCTGTAGTAGAAGCAGTGTATCCCTCTAGTCATTAGCTGAGACTGGAGTCTGGTGGAAGGGGAGGAAAGCAGCTGCAGCAGCTGTAGATTTCAGAAGCCATGTGGTGAGGACGCCCGTGTGATGTCATGTGTATACGATCACCTGAACACATAAAGAGCCCTGCCCAGGACTGGGAATGGAGCTCAGTGGTAGAGTGCTTGCCAGGTACCTCAGGGATACGTATCTGCAATCCAGCACTTGTGAGACGAAGGCAGGAAGATCAGGAGTTCAAGATCATCCAGCTAAGAAGCAAGTTTGAGGGCAGGCTGGGCTACATCAGAACCTGCTTAAAAATAACAAACAAACAAACAAACAGACAAACAAAGAAAAACTAGGGTATTCCAATCTTGGGACCCCTCCCACTCAAATTGTTTCGTACTTTTCCCTAATAAATTTCTCTCTGTGTATATATGCCCATGTGTACATATGCGCACATACACACACACACACAGGAGTGGAGAGATTGATTCCTACTCAAGGTCTAGGGAGAGTGCTCAAAGTGTGCTGTTAGCTCTAGATTTCCTCGTTGAAGTTCACAGCTCCCAGAGACCTGGTGCTATAAGCCTGTACTTTGGGCCACTGGAGGAGGCTGAGGCAAGAGAATCATAAGTTCAAAAGCCAACCAGGGCAACTGTTTAGCAAGAGCATATCAGAAAGTTAAAAAATGACAACTACCAAAAAATCCAACCAGGGCTGGGAATGTAACTCATGGTAGAGTGCCTGCCTCGTTGGACAGGATCAGGGTAGGGGGTGAGACAGTGCCTGCCTCGTTGGACAGGATCAGGGTAGGGGGTGAGACAGTGCCTGCCTCGTTGGACAGGATCAGGGTGGGGGTGAGACAGTGCCTGCCTCGTTGGACGGGATCAGGGTAGGGGGTGAGACAAACACATGAGCAAATGAACAGACACATTCTTGGATTCAGAAGAATCATCTCAGTCAGGTTCTGCTCTCAGTGACAGCTGTGTCCCCTGCCTTGTGTGTCGCTGGAATACCTGCAAGGCCAGGCTAATTTGCGGCCCTGGTAGATGTATTTTTCAGGGACATTCCGTTTGCAGTCCTGTAAGGTAAGGAGCCTGTTCGAACTACTTTGAATATCCACATATCATCCCCTTTCCTCATAGCTTACTCACAAAAACAAAGGAAGAAATGGCCTTAGCCATCAACTCGTCCACCTGAGTGTTAGCCTCAGCCTGCCTGCCCCTCACCTCTGGAGTGCCACGAAATCTTGTTTCTTTTTGGATCAGGCTGTACTCAGTCTGCCCTCCCGCAGACTGTTGACTTAGGCCCAGAATCTTTCTCCTCCCTTGATTGCTACCCAGGCATTTCCCTGTCCTCACCCTCAATAATTAGGTCATCCTGTAAGGCAGACCTCAGCAGGTCAGCCTTTGACCCCTAGGTCCTTTCTGGCTCCTGGTGTTAGCTTGCACTTGCAGGCTATTGATGTTTTAGGTTGCCACTAACAGCGTTGTGTACTGTCCTCCTCTTGCGGTGTTCATTGGCCAATTGAAGAGCAGTGCTAGCTCCAGCTTCCAGGAGATGACTTGGCCAGCCCCTTTTATTGTTTCAGAAAACGACTACTAAATTACTCCAAACAAACAAAAGCCACATAGGGCAACTGAGTTTGGATTTCTCCCACAATGGATGCTTGGAATTATTAGAAATTCTTTCAGCTTTGCTCCTGTTGCCCATGCTGTACTTGTAACACGCTCGTCACACGCTCGTCTGCCCTGAGCCGTCCACACGGCACCCCAGATAGCTCTTAAATATTGGCCCTGAGATCTCCTGAGTCTCAGGTTCTGAATCATTACAGTGCTCCTCGGAGCTGAGCTGAGTCCCTCCTAATGGTATATTTGTGGTGTCTTTGAGCTTTATGGCTCCCAGTTCCCCCCCCGCTCTCCTCAGTGCAGCCCTCCCTGCCATCACTGCCATAGCAGAGGGTTTGCCACAGAAACAGTCAGTCTAAGCACTGTGGGGCTCTCTGCACACATCTGCTTTTCTCTGAGATTACATAGGTTAATGGCTTCAGGGCACCCACGGAAGCTCTCCTGCGTCTTCCTGCAATCCAGGCAGGAGGAACATCCCTTATTTGGGACTTAGCATTCTCACAGCAGAAAGAAAAGGGTATGAGAGTTTGTTTGGGTCGGATATCCACCTGTCTGCTCCTGAGTCTTTGACCTCTGCCATAGCAAGTCACGTGGTCCAACTTACCTCTCTCCAGTCCTCCACCCAGATGTTCACCGAAGGCTGCAGCTGCCTCTCAGAGGTGGTACAGCATGCGCAGCAAGTGGTGCCTCGCTGAGATCTAGTCTGTTGGGGAGATGTAGGACGACCATGGTGACCTCTCTGTGCTTTCCAGCATGCCTGATCACATGCACACCTAGGCTCCCTTCTAATGCCCAGACGTACCTGGGCAGAGCAGTCCACACATAAAGGATCTCATTTCATCTTGTCTTATTTTTATTATATTCATTTACTCATATGCCCATGGAGGTCAGAGGCCAATGCTTTTTCTTTCTACCATGTGGGCCCTGGGGATTGAACTTGGGCCTGGGTGGCAAGTACCTAAACCACTGAGCCATCTTGCTGGCCCTTTACTTCATGTTCTTAACAAGCCTGGATGGAAGATATTATCCCCATCTTACAGGTAAGGAAGACAGAGGAGCTTGTTAGCCAAGTGGAAGATGTTGAGGTATTTCATACAGTTTTTGAACTACAATGTATATTGCTGGTTTTATGAACATTAGAAATGAAGTACTGTGTGATTTCTGAATTAATAAATAGGTTTTGTAATATATTTATGAAATAATGTCATGTTTGATAACTATATATCAGAAATATTCACTTTGAGGTGCAACAATGTAAAAGTTATATACAGGTAAGCTTGAAAAACAAAGGAAACATTAAGTACTTTAGGACAGCAGGGTTTAATTTCTTTTTGATACTTGTTTTGGGGTTTTGTTTGTTTATTTGTTTGTTTTACCCTGTAGCCTAAGTTGGCCTTAAAACTGTGATTATTCTGCCTCTGCCCCTCAAATTCTGGGATTACTGGTGTGTAGCACCCAACTCGATATTGCAGTTTTAAACGTACGTGTGTGTGTGTGTGTATGTGTGTGTGTGTGTGTGTGATCCCTGGCACTTGTGTAAAGATCCGAGAATAACTTGATAGAGTTGGCTCTTTCCTTCCACCTTTTTTTGTGGGATCAGGGGATTGAATTCAGACTCAAGGTTGGTGAGACAGGCACCTTTACCCACTGAGCCATCTTGCTGTCCCAGTAAATGCATTTTAGAATAGAATTTTACCTTGCAGAAGGCAAGAAGAGATTAAAAGAGTTTGAAGCCATAGTCCCCCTGATTCTCCATTTCCTAATTGTAATTTTTGTATATAATCTGTCTGCTTCCAAATTAATATATTAATATTAAAGACTATCTTTGTTATATTCTGTAATTATGTAGAAACAGAGCCACGTGTGACATTTTATTGTAACTTGACACAAAGCACCAATATTCAATAGTAAAGTTAGAAACTCCAGCTTTTTGTCTGTTACCAGTTGCTCCTGAGGGTAAGTGGCAGTTTCATGGTTAGAGGCCAACTGCTCTTCTTTCTCTCTGCAGCCGTCACTTCCTCAAGCTGATACTGCTCGTGGAACCCGCCACCATGGGCTGGTGGAGAGGCCGGCCCGGAACCGCTTCCACCCCCTTCACCGAAGGTCTGGGGACAAGCCAGGGAGACAGATATCCTTTTTCCCTGTCTGAGGACAGTGTGCGTTTGAAATGACTGAGAAATGGTCGGGATTTATCTCCCTGTGGTTCCCCTGTGGCCTCAGAGCTTCATCTGCTCTGCAGAGAGGAAGCAATAAAAGTAACTGAGTTTAAAACTATAGACATCCCTACAGCCAGACTGGGAAAGACAGTGGTAGTCGTTTATGAAAATATTGGCAAAGTTCTGTTGAATAGAACAACAGGACATAAACATTCAATTCTGGTGTGCAAGGTATCTTTGGCATTTTCATCAGAAATCAGCAGTATTGAACTTGACTTTGAATCAACTTAGAGAGATTTAGTCTATCTAGCAAAACCCAGGCAAACGGATACCGTGTTTGTGTTTTGTTGACCTGATGACCAGCTTTTGGAACTGAAAGAGGAAATCTTACAAGATTGTCTGTCTGTAGTCTCAGACTTGGTAAATGACAGGTAAAATGTAATGTGGGTGGGTGTTTAGGAAAACTAAGCACTGATGTCCCACCACGCTCTATGTGGCTAAGGAAGGAAGACAAGGAGCTGTGCGTCCTGGCTGTCTGAGCTGGATGCTGTAGGAGCAGAGACAGAAGCGAGCAAGCCGGAGCTTCTCTCAGTCCACTGAGCTCAGGATAAGCTTGGTGGAGGAAGGAGCAGATGGGCGTGGCAAATCTCCCTGCAGAGAGCTGATTCCTGGCAGTGATGGTAGAGTTGGCTTCAGAAGCTTAGAAACCAGGAAGTGGGGGAGGGCACTCATGTTTACTGAGCACCTATCCATGCCAGACACTGCGCCAGGCAATTTGTATGTCATTTAGTCCTCAGAATTCAATGAGTCGTTTATTTTTTTTAACCCTCAATTTTCCCACGAGAAAACTAGATATCAGAGTAACTTGGCTAGGATTCTACTGCTGTGACTCATGTAGCCCAGGCTTGTCCATTCAGTGGCTTTGAAAACCATATGCTAGAGAATACTCCTGTGAGAACTGCAGGGATGTGCGGAGGAAGCCCCAACTTTCCTTGCCTTCATGGCCTCTAGGTCTTACTCTCCTGAGGTGAGGACAGTGATTCTGGGGAGCATTGACTTCTCTCAGCTCTCCCCTCTGGACACCAGATCCAGTCCACACAGCTGCAGTGATTCCTCCTTCTCCCTGTTACATGGTTTCCGTCAGGGAAAATGAAAATGGCAGAGGATCTTGGGATACCTTCCTGGAGTGTGTAAGGACTTCATATAGAATGCAGAGGGTAAAGGGAAGCAGTTTATCTAACCAGCACATCTGCATATGGAGTGGCACACCAAGCCATTGCCCAAATGGCTTGGAATCCTTTAGCAAACAACCAGATGTTTCTCTGCCTGAGTGAATGACACAGGGGTGGAGTATGCCACTCAGTGGTAGGTGCATGCTTAAACGTTCTTGAGGGTTTGGGTTCAAGGAAAAAAAAATTTTTTTCTAGTGTGACACAGTGGCAGAGAACCTTGTAGCTTGTGCAAAGTCCTGGTGTTCATTCTCAGCATGAAAGAAAGAAGGAAAGGAATGGAGGGAGGGGAAAGGGAAAGAGAAAAGGGAAGGAGAGGGGGAGAGAGAGAGAGAGAGAGAGAGAGAGAGAGAGAGAGAGAGAGAGAGGGAAAGGAAAGAGGAAGGGGGATTGAAGCTTAAAGGTTAAGAAAGAAGTAGGGTGTGGCCTGTCCACTCATTAAACACATATTCATGGAGACCCTTCCCTGGACCAGGCAGTCAATGTCTTGGGCACAGAGGACAAAGTGCTGAAGGAGATACCAACCTTGTGTTTTTGAATTTCACAATCCTTTGGGAGATGATGGACAGCTAAGAGACAAATAATAATAATTAATAACTAAGGAAAAGAACTTCAGATGGTATCTTAAGTTACTTTTCTATTTCTGTGATAAGACACCACATCCAAGGCAACTTATAGAAAAAAGAGTTTATTAGGAGCTTAGAGTTTCAGGGGGGCTAGAGTCTGTGGCATCATTGTAGAGACCGTGGCAGAAAGCAGGCTGGCAGGCATGGCACTGGAGGGAGAGCTGAGCACTCACGTCTTGAGACACAACCTCAGAGCAGAGACAGCTAACTGGGAATGTCTTTTGAAACCTCAAAGCCCTCGCCTACCAGTGACACCTACAACAAGACCACACCTTCTCATCTTTCCCAACTAGTTCTACCAACTGGAGACCAAATATTCAAACAAGAGGTATGGCTGTTCTCATTCAAGTCACCATGGATAGGACTCCACTGCATGTTCAGGGAACCTGTCTCCTTTTGTGTAATAAATCCTAGAGGTTAGCCTGGCTCTGAGTTGGCTTGTAAGAGCATCAGCAAAGCCTGCCAGCTCCCGAGGAAAAGGAAAAAACAAACGAATATGCAGAGAAAGTTGTTGAGCGCCGAGTGTGATCTGGTCCACTGATCATGAGCCGTGTCTCTGTGGTCATTTCCTAACACCTAAATGTGGCCCTGGGCCTGGACTTGTGATGTACAGAAGTTCGCTAGCGTAGGGGTGTCACTAATGAACTAATAAGTCCTGTTTGAGGAGTCAAAAGGCTGAGCATCAAGTGACAGGTAGGACAGTCTTACACCTCAGCTGGTGACTTACTCAGAATTTAGAGGGAGATACCAAGACCTTCTTTGCTTTCCTGGTGTCCATTCTGTTAACTATGAAATAACTCACTTTAAACTGCCGCCTTTCATATTTGGCTGTAGTGCCAGTCTAATTTTTAATAATTATCTTTCATGTGTATGGTGTTTTGCCTGCCTGTATGTCTGTGCACATATATGTGTTTGGTCCCTGTGCAAATTAGAAGATGTGAGATTTCCTGAAACTGTAGTTACAGTTGTGAGCTACCATGTAGATGCTAGAAATCAAGTCAGGTCATCTGGAAGAGCAGCCAGTGCTCTCAGCCTCTGAGCCATCTCTCCAGTTCACAAGTTTTACCATTTTAAAAGCCAGAAAACTGGTTTGAATCTTTGTTGGTATAAACAGAAAAGAAAAAAAAATGATGTATTCAGAATTTTCTTCTTGTAGTTGTTTCTTAGTGTGGGTATTGTTTTAGGGTCGGCAGACTGGCTAAAATAAGAGATTGGCCCCAAATAAAATGAACATTGTCAACAAATATTCCAGCTTCCTGCTGGAGTGGGCAGCCATGACCCACAGGAGATTCCTTCTGCAGTAGGCCGAGTTATTGGCATGTATGGCTACCACAAGGCCAGGGCTGGTCACCCTGGTCGACCCCTGCCACCTGCAGGTAAAGCAGAGGCGCCACAAAGCCTACTCTTGGCCTAGGAGCTTAGTCTAGACGTTACACCTTTTTGCAGCAGTCCATTCCTTTAGCAGCCACCCTACCCCACCCCACCTCTACGCCACCCCCCTGCTTCTCAAGGGTAGCAAACTTGCTCCAACCCAAACACCATTTTATTGAGTTTCTGAACTATTTCTGTACATTGACAGCACGTGACTGTTTTCTGGTCTGTAGGTAATGTATTAAGAGAACACGCTAGCAATGCCATCTTTTAAGAGGTGTGTTGTTTGAAAGGGAAAGATAAGTGTTAGGATTGTTCCCCAGCAGAGTTGTGAACCCTGGCCTTAGTCGTCCAGAAGACTGTGCCTGAGGCCCTGGGAGTTGGGGAACCGCTGCTCTGCAGTAGGCCTTTCTTTGACTGATCTTGTCACAACAGAATGGACATTTTACAACATGGGACATTGTTCTTTGAGATTCATAACATGTTAAGTCTAAGAAACACTGTGTCCCCCCCACCTGCTGTTAGAGTCTTATGGTATTTAGGAAGGCTCTGAGATGCTCTGGGGTTAATAAATGTCTATCTTCATGAGGATTTCAAAACTTGTGCTTCCTTAAAACCCAGTCCTTATATAACATTCCTATCAGAGGTAAAGACACTGGTCCTTAGTGTCTGAGGAGAAACAAGGCTGACATCACAGGGCCACACGCATCTCATGTCCCTTTCACCTGTGCAAAGACTTGGGAAGATGTGGATTTCTTTTAAAATTTGGCTTGAGGGCCGTCAAGGTGATACAGCTAAAGGGGCTTGCCAGCAAGCTTAGCAACCTGAGTTCCACCCCCAGAACCTGTGCAAAGATGGAGAGAGAGAACGCACTCCATTAAATTGACCAGTATGCCCCCTACCTTACACACACACACACACACGCACACACACTAATATGTTAAAACTTTTGACTTAATATATTCTTCTTATAGGAACATGTTTGCGCCAAACATGGTGGCTTACAAGTGCAGTTCCAGCACTCAGGAAGCCAACGTAGGAAGATGATTGCATAGCAGATTCAAGGCCACTGCGCTCTAGAATGAGATCCTGTCTTAGGAAGGGATTAAAAGAGAAGGAAAGGAAGAAAGAAAGGAAGGGAGGGAGGGAGGGAGGGAGGGAGGGAGGGAGGGAGAGAGGAAGGAAGGAAGGAAACAGAAATCAGAGGATACAGCATAGACAGTGGGAAGGACCCACATAGCATCCTCCTGTAGACAGGGACACCTCCCTCCCTCCCTCCCTCAGTCAGTAAGAATAAACCTAATTAGATGAGATAGAAATAAAGGAGAGAGCCCATAGACCACATCCTAGCTTCTTTTACCTCATCCTAGTCAGATGAAGAGCAGCTGGGACTTACTGCACTGTCATGTTCTGAGGGCTTATTAAGCAGGTTAATATGCAAACTCAGAGCCTCAACACTGAGGTGACAAGTATTTGCATATTGTGGTGTTGTTACTATACTACCACGTTCTTTGTTTGTTTGTTTGTTTGTTTGTTTTTCAAGACAGGGTTTCTCTGTGTAGCCCTGGCTGTGCTGGAACTCACTCTGTAGACCAGGCTGGCCTCGAACTCAGAAATCCGTCTGCCTCTGCCTCCCAAGTGCTGGGATTAAAGGCGTGCGCCACCACCGCCTGACTTACTATCACATTCTAACTCGAGTGGCCGATACTTTGTGCTGACACCTACTGATTTGTTTATGTGACAGGGTCTCACTGTGTAACTTAGTGGTTTTAAGAACAGCAGTTCACTTGAACAGCTGAGCTAAACATTTATTCTCTTTATGAGTTGACCCTTTGTCAGCAGAGGTTCATCAAATCCCCCAGAAGAGAAGGCAGAGAAGCACGGGCTGTGGGAGTCGGTGCCTCCACCCTGCAGGCTTGGACTCCAGCACAAGCCTCCTGCTTCACCTCTGCCTCTTTTCTCTCTTTCCAGGACCAACCCTGAACTTCGTAGACATTAAGCCTAATCAGATTGAAGAAAGGTGTCTCTGGAGGATATCTGTGTCTCATCGTGTGGGCCCAGAGTCAGATTAAGAAATAAGATAATGAGACATGACAAAGAAAGCAAGCATTGGAAGACAGACTTGGAGTCATAGTGCTTCTCTTAGCAAAGGGAGTCATTAAGATCCCATCAGTACCCGCATCTCTCTAGTCCCGCCGTTTGTTTGTCTTCACTTGGTGCCCAGTCTGTGCCTCCACAGCAGGTCCCCACTCCACTAAGACCTGTTTCCTCCTGAGCCCAAGCAGGTCACATTTTCCTGTCTAGGCTCCATCTTCCTTTGAGGATACCCAAAATGTTCTCTTTTCTGGGGCCCATGGTGCCAGTTCACTACCTCCTAGGAGGTGGGAGGCCTTGCTGTAGTCTGAAGCCTGGGAGTGAGTGAATGGTAGGTTCGACCCCAGCCCACCATGCCAGCCGTGGAGTTTGGATTTCTACCTGTTCTAGGGCAGAGCCTCCATATTCTTCAGCTGTGAAATGGCGATCTGCCTCCTAAGATTTTAAGATTATAGGGGAGCTGTCAGGTGGTGGTGTGCACTTAGGAGGCAGAGGCAGGCAGATCTCTGAATTTGAGGCCAGCCTGGTCTACAGAGTGAGTTCCAGGACAGCCAGGACTACACTGAGAAACCCTGTCTCAAAAAAAAAATTTTTTTTATATTGGCAGCATGAACTTACTTAACACAAGAGAGTCACACAGTAGGTGCTTATTGTCTCTGTTTTCCTATTTCTGATGTCTTAATGTATACCTTGCATTTCCTCTATTATTTCTCATTTTAAAAAAGAAGTATTCTTTTTTATTTATTTCTTCAAATAAATATTTCAAAAATAATACTTCAAAGCAGTTTTGGTGATTGTAAAGTGTGTATTTGATCTGGTCAGTGACAGAAGAGACAAAAAGAGTGGGTGTGGTGACGGTAGCGGGGAAAGAGCCTGGTCATAAGGAGGCTGCATCCACCAGCGAGCACAGGAGAGGAGGGGAGCACAGGAAGAACCCAGCATGTGGAAGTGGGCGGAGAAGCTCGGGGCCTTGGAGCCTTGGAGGGATGCAGGTATTAGGCTATACAGTCAGCCTTTCAGCAAGAAGAGAATGCTAAGAGGTGTTTTCGTTTTTTCTTTTGTTTTTTTGTTAGTTTGGTTTAGTTTGAGTTTTTTAAGGTTTTATTATCTATTTATTTATTTTTATGATTTAACACAGGGTTTCTTTGTGTAGCTTGGGCTGTCCTGGGACTCACTCTGTAGACCATTCTGGCCTCGAACTCACAAATATCTGCCTGCCTCTGCCTCCAAGTGCTGGGATTAAAGGTGTGTGCCACCACTGCCCATCTAAGATGTATTTTTATTATATTTATTATAAGTTTAATAACTGTAATTGTTATTTTTATTCTATTTAATTATATTAATGAGGGCAGGGGTGTGTGCACATAAGGACAGATTCCTGACTGGCTCCCTTGGAGCTGGAATTACAGGTGGTTGTGAGCTACACATACTTCACTGTTCAGTTGTTTCTCCAACCTTTTTAAATTAATTAGTTGTTCATTTGATTTCTTTCTGAGACAAAGTATCACTGTGCAGCACTGGATGGCCTGGAATTTACTATGTATACTAGGCTGGTCTTGAACTCACAGACGTATGCCTGCCTCTGCCTCTCAGAGTGCTGGGGTCAAAGGCATGTGCTACCATGCCCAGCTTTTAATTTTTTAAAAAAGCAGAATGATACGATTTAAGATGTCTTAAATCTCCTCTGAGTACAGGTCACTAAAGCAGTAGTGACAGATGTGCTTCACTGGGTGGAGTTAACATCCCGTTTGTCTCTCTGTGTGTTTGGATCTTCAGGCGTGCCAGACCCAGTAAGTAACACAGAGCCTAGAAAACAAAGCCTTTCACACTAGGAATCTACATCATCTTCATTGATTCAAAAGTAACAGGAGCTCACCTTAATTTGGGAAAAAGAATTGTTTTTAGACAGATATGGTTGGACCCTCCTATAATCTCAGCACTCATGAGGCTGATGCAGAAGGATTACTGTGAGTGAGGCTAGCCTGGGCTACATGATAAGTTCTAAGTCAGCCTAGGCTACTTAGCAAGACCCTGTCTCAAAACAAACAAACAAACAAACAAAACAGCCCCAGAGCTTCCCCCAAACAAACTCAAACAAGAAGTGTAGGACTGGGGATTGACCCACACATACTAGACAAGTGCCCTACCATTGAGCTATATATATGCCCACCACTTCTGGTTTTTACTTTCTTTGAGAGAGACTCTAAGTTGCCAACTCTGCTCTCAAACTTTCCATTGTCCTGCCTCAGCCTCCTGAGGAGAAAAGAACTGGTTTGGCTTATATCACTGGAAACTCAAGGGCAGTGGCCAGGGGACGGTGTGATATCATTAAGATTACATCTGTGGTGTTGAGTTCTTCCATAGACAAGCATTCTGTAAGAGGAGCCACCTGGCCTCAAACACCTCATTCCCACCTGGAAAGCACTCTCCATGGTCCTGTTTTGAACTTATCCCTGAACCAGTCACAGTTGGCAGGAGAGTGAGGTATGAGATGCCATGACTGACACTTAACTGGGCCTGAGTCCATCCACCCCATGAGAAAGGAGGCCTGCATACATGCCAGCCTCCCCAGTGTTTGTGATGCAAGTCAGCAAAGTTCTTGAAAACAGATATGGGGCAGGAGACACACAAACATGCGTGCATGCATGCATGACAACTTGCAGAGAGGGGGAGAGAGAGGGACAGGGAAGAGGAGGGAAAGAGCTTTTGCTTCAGCAGTAGCTTAGTGGGCAAAGTAAAACATGCAAACCTGAAGACCTAAGTTTGATCCCCAGAACCCACATGACAAACTAGACATGGTGGCACACACTTGTAATCACGACGCTGGGAAGGCAGAGACAGGCAGGCCTCTGGGGTTTGCTGGCTAGTAGCCTTCTCTACTCACCAAGCTGCAGGCCAAGGATCAAGGAACCAGGACGGTGGCACAAGTCTTTAATCCCAGCACTCGGATGGCAGGTAGATCTCCAAATTAAGAGGCCAGCCTGGCCTACATAATGAGTTCCTGGATAGCCAGGGCTACATAGAGAGACCCTGTCCTGAAAAAAATCAAGCAACAACTACAAACACCGAGGCAGATGGCTTCTGAGGAACGGCATCCAAGGGTGATGTCTGACCTCCACAGACACACCCACAAACACACATTTACACACACACACACACACACACACCATGAAAAGGAGTCTGGGGAAGACACTGGAGCCGGTGACAAGTGCAGCGCGTGGGGATGAGCAGCCACAGGCTCACTGGCTCAGCCTCCACTTTGTTTCTTCATTCTGCTTCAACACCGTACATTTTGTTTTCCTTTATTACAAATTCTACTTCGATGGAAATACTTTCATAGCCAGTTATGCTTCGCAGCCCCTGGATGAGAGCTGGCCACGGTAAGTGAGCTGTATGATGGGATGTGTCTGTTCTATAGAAACATTTTAACATAGGGAGAGCCTCTTTTTAAGATGGTTTCACTTCATTTTAACCGTCTTCAATGCTGGCTTAGACTTACTTATTGTTTTAGTTGTTTGTTGTTGTTTTTTTTTTAATAATCGAGACAGGGTCTTTTCTTGCCCAGACTGGCTTCTAATTTGTGATGTAGCCAAGGATGGCCTTGAACTCCAGATTCTCCAGATTAACCCTAACCCTTACCTCTAACCCTCTAGTGCTACAGTTAGAGACATGTTCCACTATGATTTGGGGGTGGGGGGAGACTGGGTCTCTCTATATAGTTTAGGCTGTTTCGGAGCTTGCTATGTAGACCAGGCTAGCCTTGAACTTGCAGCAATCCTGCCATTTCTGTTTCCCAAGAGTCTAGCCTAGTTAGATATTTTTAACATCAAATTTGTTTTATCTTAGAAAGTTTACGTGTTAAGCTGGGTGTGGTGGTACATACCTGCAATCCCAACACTTTAGAAGTTGAAGAATCACAAGTTTGAGGTTAGCCTGAGTGACATAGTAAACTCCAGGTAGCCTAAGCTGTAAAAGGAATCTGTCTCGAATCACAACATCAAAAACCCCTCAGCCTTTCTGTGTATAATTCTGAGCTTTTAAGAAAATACAGAACAAAAATTACTTAAGCAAATCTAGATTCAAATAGAAACATATTCTGAAACATTTACCAACCAAATGTCTGCTTTGGTAGTCTTATGGTAGACAGGAAAAACAAACCCCCTCTCTGGCATCTTTTAGTCAGTAGTTCTTGAAAAGAATGAAAGATTCCTAAATTGAACCTGTGTGCCGGGAGTTTGGTTTAGTCTCTGAGTAGGCTGTGTCGTATGACGGTGGCCCACCATGGCGTTAGTGCAGCACCTCCCACATCAGATGGAAGAGAGTCTTAAAATGTATATATCACCAGGGGTGTGGCCCACACCTGTAATCCCAGAAGTTGGGATGCTGAAACAGGAGGATTGCCATGAGTTCAAGGTTTGCCTAAGATACAGTGTAAGAGACTGTCTCAAAAAAAAAAAAAAAAGACATTTAAAGAAAGAAACTGAGTCTCAACTCTGAATCTCCTTATTATTCCTTGGGCTAATACTGACTGAGCCCTTATCATGACTAATGTAGTCTGGATTCAAGAAAGGGGGTCAAGATGGCCGACAGCAGCCCCGCCTCACATAGGCCCTCAGCCTCCACAGGAGTCCTGAGTTAAGTCTGTAAGATAATACAGTGGTATATTTTAAGTCAGAAAAGGCAGCTCTTCAGACGGATGCACTTCATCTCTGTATCTAAGAAAAAGGACTTTGCTTCTCAGAGCCCTGGGATTGGCCAGGTGATTATCTTCATAGGATGGCTAGCAAGCACATTGCAGTTTGTGGCCTTCCTCATGAGAGAGCAAAGTGGTTGCATCCTGGATTACCAAAGTGCCCCCGCACACACACTCAGGGCACATGACGAGGGGTAACGTATCTGTACCTAGAATAAGGCCTACTGTCTCTTAGAGGTGTCAGCCTTCCTTTGACCAGTTCCAGACAGCATTCAAGTGTGCACAGCTAGCTGATGTTGTGCAGTGGATTCCATTAGTTATCCTGGGAATCAGGTCCTGAGAGATTTCTTCAGTCTGGCCTCCTCTCCACAGTGGTGAGCAAACGGAGGCCAGGGCATTTCAGGAAACTCTTGGTTAGAGGAGCCAGCTGTCAAGCCCTGGCCTGAAGCATGTCATTGGTTCCATAGCTAAGCTTCTTTCCTTTTTATGTCGTTCTGGTTTCTAAAGGCAACAGCCTCCTTGGAAAGAGGAAAAGCATCCTGGATTCAGGCTAACATCTGCACTTAACAGGTATGTGGGCTGATTCATAGAAGAACATTTTCAAGGAGACGATTTGATTAGCCAGATAATCTTTACGTATTATATTGCTGTCCAGTTTGTTTATATCAGTTGTGTTTATATGAATCAATTAAAGAGAAAAAAACCATCGAGTATGTAGGAGATGGTGTGGTCAATAAGAACATGGGGTCTAGAGGGGACCACCGAAGTTTACCTCTTAGCATGTGACCCTGAGCAAAGTACCTGCCTTCCCCTTCATTTGCATGTATGAACATGAAGGTACTTGTATCCATTATGGGGTGGCTGTAGGGACTAAATAGGATGTTCCATGGACGCATAGTGTACAGTAAATATCAGCTTTTCTCAAGGTTACTTTGGGCCATACTTTAGGAAGGACCTGGGTCATTTTTCAATCCCAGCATGACAAGAAAGATTGTCCTTTTCTGCTTTAAGAGGACAGATGGCTTGCCCCAGACCCTTTAGCTAATATGCTAGGGGTGGAATTTGAAAAACAAAACAAAACCCTTGAATCAGGCTGCAATTCCAGTAATCCAGAAGCTGAGGCAGGAGGACTGCAAGTTGAAAACCAGATTGGGCTATAGAGTTGAACCTTGGGGAAAAAAAACTTAAAAATTAAAAATGTTTTAGCGGTGTAGAGGAGAGGTAGAGTTGTGAGCAGCCCCCGTGACCGCTGGAAGCAGTTCTGTCTTGACCGGCATTCTGCCAGCCTGATTCCTCTCCTCCTCGTGTGGCATTCCATGACCAGCTAGATAAAGCCTGTCACCTGTAAGTACCCTACAGTAAGAGGCCAACAAGAGGTAACCACAATGCAAGTAACAAAATTAACCATCATTTTCTCTACATGGTCCCATAGCCAGTCCACATCTCCATTGTCAGTCATCCCTGTGTTTGACTGATGTCTCCTGGGTTTCTGTGACTCTGCCGGAGCTGGGAGCCCCCAGGGCTCACACCATTTCTGCTGGATCCCAGGATCCTCCCCTTTCACCTCTTCCCTCCTCTGAAGCCTCGGGTTTAAGTCACATGAAGCTGTCCCTGGAGCAGACCATGAAGAACCATTTAGGCTAACAAAGTTGCTCATGTGCCCTTTACGACAGACAGTCCGATTTGACCTTTGGGTACAGTAAATCAGTAGTTGCCGCCTTTTGGAGCTGAAGCTGTGCACACACTAGAGCTCTCTGGGAGCATTTGAAACACTTGATCTTGATCAGCAGCTCCCAAACTGTTGTCTAGGAGTATTTACACTCTGAAAAACCATCAAAGCACGGAGAGAGCATTTCTCCATGTGAGTATAGCTGTCGGTACTCAGCGGCTGCCAATGAGAGAAGGCAAATGTAGAACTGAAATGTACCCATTGGTGCATTTCAGCATGCACCAGTCAACCCACCACATGCCGAAGTAAATAATATATATATATATATATATATATTTTTTTTTTTTTAAAGAAACACCATATCATTTTCTAAAACAAATGAGAACAGCTGCATTGTTATACCTCTGGCAGGTGGAGTCATTGTCTGTGTTCAGTCTGTTGTGCCATGACATTGCACAACTGCTGGAGTGTCCCACCATGCCATCAGAGGGCAGGAGTGACGACCGTATGTGGTAGCATTTTGACCTCACATTCTCCCTGTAAAAGGCTTAAGAACCACTGTTTCAGGTGTTTTTCCACATCGGCTCAAGAATTCTCAGAAAGCCTACTACAGACACAGACTGAACTGGCCTGAGACTAGTTACAGGGACGAAAAGGGTGGTCTTAGGGAAACTGAGATTCTGACACTGGCCTTGTGTCATAGTGTAAGGCTATTCAAATACAAATTAAACTCTTTTGGACATAGGGTGGTCCTCAAATGCCTTTTTGATATAAAGGACTAAAGGTAGGTCCTGACCCTTCCAGGTATGTGTATTTGTAAGTCTATTATTCTCATCTTTTCTCCTGTGGATAATATTCAGAAAAAAAAAATGCATTCCACAAAGGAAAAACTGGATTTTCAGTCAGACTCTCTCCTCGCCTCCTTAGGACCAATTCTGATTCTGCTCTTCACACGAGTGCTCTGAGCACCAAACCCCAGGACCCCTATGGAGGAGGAGGCCAGTCAGCCTGGCCTGCCCCATACATGGGTAAGACACCCAGGCCTCTGCTAACAGCCTCTGTGCTTCCTGCTTCTGTGCTGTATGCAGTGCATGCCCTTCCTGGGTTTGGTGGTCGTCAGAGCAGAGCTCGCAGCAGGGGAAGTGTGTGCTCGTGGCAGCGTTAGAGTGGATCCCTTCCTTGCTTCTTTCATGGCTCCTGCTTCCTTCCCTGTTGGCATCTGCTGGCTCTGGCTTCCTCTTCCCTGTGGCACCAGCGCTGTCCTAGGCACGCACATCTTTTGAACAAGCTCCTGCAATAGCGTCCTGGCTGCTTTTCTCCTGTGCCTAGCCTTGCAACCTAATCTTATGTTGAGCTCTCCAAGGCCTCCTTTTGTTTTTGTTTTTTTGTTTTGTTTTTTGGTTTGGTTTTTTTCGAGACAGGGTTTCTCTGTGTAGCCCTGGCTGTGCTGGAACTCACTCTGTAGACCAGGCTAGCCTCGAACTCTCGAACTCAGAAATCCACCTGCCTCTGCCTCCCAAGTGCTGGGATTAAAGGCGTGTGCCACCACTGCCCAGCCAAGGCCTCCTTTTGTTAGAGGATCTTGTAAAACCGGATTAGAAGGAGCTTCTCTTTGTAGATCCGTGGACCTTGTGTGGCTAAACCTCCGAATGAGGCAAACCCTCCCACAGGCCAGCAGTATTGGCATAGGCTGTCCCTGTGGAAGGAATAATTAAGACCGGGGCCAGGGGAGAGTCACAGAGACCTCTCTACAGGAAGGCATGTCCCAAAGAACAAGACGGGGGGTGGGGGGGAGGAGACAGAATGGAAGCCGAGTATCATCATCTGCTCCTTGTCCCCCACTTCTACTTACAACATGTTTCTGTGGTCCAGAGAAAGTCTGAAAGAGAAAGGCCAGCAACCATGAAAGGGCAAACCTGTGCCACCTCATGCTCTCTGCTTCCATTGTTAACCTTCTCTGCTCCTCATATTCTCCTGCCTTCACTACAGCCCACCTCAAGACCTTGTCTGGAATGACATGAGCCACAACATACCACCACCCCACCCCACCCCCAGTCGAGTCCTCAAAGCTGTGTGAACTTGCCGGTGTTCTGCGGTTTCATCCTGTTCCTATGTCTTCCTCTCCTCCCACAGTGTAAAAGCCTCAGCTGTGTCTGTACTTCAGTGGAGCCTTTCATGACCTTCCTCCCTCTCTGGTCCTGAGCTATCCATGTCCTCCCCTGTCCCAGCCTCCTACAAGCAGTTGCTGTGACGACTGCTTCTTCAAGTAGACGTCTGTCTCTCTGCTTCGGGTGAATTTCTTGAAGGCAGTATCTTAAAAGTCTTGTCCTACCTGACACAGTGCCCAGTACAGTAAGGCACGCTTACTGCTGAAATGCAAAGAAGTCACACAGTACTGAGCACACCCTTAAACTCACTGTAGGTGCTCACTTCTAGCCCGCACCCAACATAAGGATTCTTCATTCAGATGCTTCCCAAACCTATCTGTCTGGGCTTTGTCATCTAGAAAGAACATGGGCTGGAGTTCTCTGTTCCATACATCGATTGACTGTGTGTATGAGGACTGGCCACATACTAGCTTTTCCAGTTTTCTTTACAGTTATGGTCTATTTAAAGCCTAAAATATTGGTTTCTCTTGAGGAAAGCCATTCGTGGTCTTTTTGCATATAGTACAGATGGGATTTGATGTAATTGTTATTATATTTGTTCCCTTTGTACAATTCATTTGTTGAAATGACTCTTTGCTTGTAAAGTCTGAGAGCTTTGGAATTGGTCGGGAACATCGGCTATATTTCCACACATGGGAATATGAGAGGGAAGTTGGCCGGAAAGTTGGAATTGGATATGGGTCATGAACAGTGTTAGAGAAGTGGGGTGTGTGGGAGGTTAGAGATTGGCTCTGGGATAGGTAGAGATGGATATGTATAAACAAAGCCTTAAAAAGCAGAGACTGTAACCAGTGGAGTACCTGTGTGCACAGCAAGGTCTTTGCCACGGTGACTGGGAGCTAGCTAGCCTAGTAGGATCATCCCTGGAACCCCTGTATTCCTGCCTCGACTTTGTCCTCTGTGCTGAGATTATCCTTTTCTAGAAGGGACTAAATTTTAAGCCTAGAGAGGACAAGAGAATTGTGGGTAATTTAAGAAACATTTGAGCTCTATGTAAAGAGAAAGTAACTAAAGAAACTGAATTAAGTTATTCTAAGACTAACTTGGTCTCTGAGGGAAGAGCTGAGAGCTGTCAGCAGGTGTGGGGCTGCTTGCAGAGGAGGGGCAGCCGACACACTGATCCATGCAACAAGAAACCAGGAGAGGAAGGGCAAGTCTTGGACAGGGCTCTCGGGTTGCCTTGGGAACTTTGGTGGTCTCTCCTTTTCACGTCAGTGTTAGAAATTGTGGGGTCACAGTATCTGCCAGCTACAGAAGGTGGGCCCACCCCAGCATGGATGTCTGCACTGTGTGCCTGCTCCTACAGTCGCCTTCAAGTACCACAGAACTCAGAAACACATCCAAATATGGATGTGTTTACATGGGAAAGCCAGTGTGTTTAAAATATTATTCAAGTCTCCAAGGATGAGAATTATTTCTGGAGAATTATATTTGTTGGTGGGAGCTATTTTAAATGGTTTTTATGTATTTTCCCCCTGTAATTCATTAAAGTTTTTCATTTTCTTTCCTTTTGGATTTTAAAAATATCAACTAGCTTCACAAAAAAAGTATTTCTTTTTATAGGACCCACCAAATAAAGTAAAGATTTTAAAAGTGATGGGAAAATATAATCAAAAGCCCAGAACTAGGTTCTGTCGTCAGAACAATAATAATGGCCCTTTCTGGGAATCTTTGCTTGGCACAGTGATGGGAGCCCTTCGTCACTGTCGTTATTGGGGGCAGATCACGAAGGAGCATCTGCTTGTAAATAGCTAAACGGGCCAGCAAGTAGACGATACATTTGCCACCTCAGTTTGCATCCCCAGGAAGCAAAGCCATTAGCCTGATACATGGTTGGTAGTGTTCTTAATGGTTATTGAGTTATATAACAATTACACATATGATATGAAGTCATAATGACAGAAATAAACTTTTATACAACCAAACAGGGTTTTTATAATTTCTCTCCTCTTGTTTAATTGCTCATTTCCCTGGTAGCATGTGCAGTTTAATTACTGTTTGGTATACACATCTGGATCAGCACAGTAGCTCTCTGTGACATTTGCCCTGTCTCACAGCCTAGCTTTAACCCCAAGTTGCCCCCCTCTCATAGTAGATTGGAGAAAGAGCTAAAGTGGCCCTTATTAGCAGCCTAGGAGCTAAGAGCAAAAGAGTGCAGACTGTGACTGCCAATAGCCATCCCTGAGGACTGTAGACCCTTTAGCCTCTGCTGAGGGACAGAGATGTAATCTGTATCTCTGTCCCTTCAACCAGCAGTGAGCTCTGACCCACAGCAGTAAGGAGACTGTCTACATGAAATAGCCGTAAGAGAGCTAAACCTGTTGTTGACACTTGTCTGCCTGACACAAGGCCTTCAGGTCTAAAGAGTCACCAAGGGCTTGGGAGAAGGCTCAGCAGGTAAAATAATGGTCATGAAAACACAAGAGCCCGTTTGTGTCCCCAGAATCCGTGTGAAAGTCAGATGTTGCAGTGTGCACTGGTGATCCAAGTACTTCTATGGGAAGGAGGGAAGTAGAGACAGGAGTGTCCCCAAAGTTCATGGGCCAGATAGCATGGAGTGTGCAGCAGCAGAGAGCCTGTCTCAAAGAAGGTTGAGCTTGAGGACCAACACCCAGGGCTGTCCTCTGACCTCCACGTACACATGGATCATAGGTGTTCGCGTACACACACACACAGAGAGAGAGAGAGGGAGAGAGGAGAGGGTTTAGATGGGAAGACTGTGATTCTAGAAACTTCTCTTAGGATGCACTGTGGTTACCTTCACCCTGTCTTTCTACTTCACATTAAGTCTGTGAGGAACTATTTAGGCTTGCCAGACATGAGAGCACATTACAGGAACATGGACTCAGATGTACTTTGTTAGGTCAGCCCTCTAAGGCTCCAAGGCTACCAGGTTTCCTGAAACACATGTGACCTTGGTCACTGCTGTCCTGTCCCCTGTGGGACTGCTTTGAGTTAATGTCCTCTATTTCCAGATAGCTAGTCATAGCTCTCTGCCTTTAGTTTTTAACCCTCCTGTTACAGTTGTGGTTTGGTATTTGTGTGTTGGTGGTGTTGTGTGTAGTAGTAGAGTGATACGAATCTAAATTTGGCTATTTTATTATTGAAATAAACCTGTCAATCATTACTGCCGCTGTCCTTTGGCAACTGTAGTGGACCGCCTGAGAGTGATATCTAATCTCTTCTCCCTCATTCTTCACCCCTGTACTACAGTCAAGCCCTGCTCTTTCTCTCCCTGCAGTGTGCTGTAGGTTTGAACCTCACTACCACGGGCCCTACTTTACTGCTCTTTGTCCAGTCTTTTGGTTTCTGTCTGGCTTCGTGACTGTCCAAAGCCTCATGCTCTACCACAAGAACAGTCTCTCACTGGGTTAGTTCTAACCCAGGCCTCAGTTCTCTACTTCATCCGAATGACTAGCAGACTCCTTCACCCATCTGTCCCTCTCCTCTACTCATGCGTAGCCAGACTTCACCGCTCCCTGCCTCTGCCGTGTATCTGCCTCTGCTCCTGTTTCCTTACTCCCCCACTCCGCCTGTTTTCACTGAGGCAGCCCTTTAACCTTACTTCCTCTTGTCTGAACTCCCCCAGGCCCAGCACAGCTGCTAGGGACATGGACTTTCTGAAGGCACCCTGCCCAGAAAGCTAGTCCCAGAACTAGCAGTGTGACCTTGGGCGGAATAATAGTTCATAGCTCATAAATTGCTCCAGAGATTACATGAGATCATTGTGTGAGGTGCCAGGTACACAGCAACTGTTACCGTCTTACCTCCCTGGTCTTCACTGCCTACCCAGGGATGAAGCCTGCCTCCTGCTGCAGTCTGGGGAAGGGGGTGGCACCAGCAGGGTACCATACAGGGAATCGGCTCGCCTCTGAGATGCACATGCTGTCCTAGCTCTTTGTGTTACCGGGACTGGTCAGCATTAGTACTTAAACTTAGTGTCGTGAAGATGAAGAGATTCTTAACATACTGTGATAGACCATTGCATAAAATGTCATTTATCATTTTTAATATAATAATCAATTTTAGTGATTGAAATGGGTAAGTTCCCTATCCTTTCTTTAAAAGACATACTTAAAAAGCCATACATTAAAATTTGAGCTTGGCCGAGCAGTGGTGGCGCACAGTTTTAATCCCAGCACTTGGGAGGCAGAGGCAGGCGGATTTCTGAGTTCGAGGCCAGCCTGGTCTACAGAGTGAGTTCCAGGACAGCCAGGGCTACACAGAGAAACCCTGTCTCGAAAAACAAAAAACAACAACAAAAAAAACAAAAACAAAAAACAAGCCTGGCAGTGGTGGCACACGCTTTTAATCCCAGCACTTGGGAGGCAGAGGCAGGCGGATTTCTGAGTTCGAGGCCAGCCTGGTCTACAGAGTGAGTTCCAGGACAACCCAGGCTACACAGAGAAACCCTGTCTCGAAAAACAAAAAAAAAAGCAAAAATTGAGAAGTTTCTCTCCCCTCCTCCTGTCAGTGCCGACTCTGGACATTGCCTTTGTCTCTGCATGCCGCATTTTCCGATGGCCTGTGCAGGCAGCCTGTCCTTGCAGTATTCAGTCACAGACTGAATAAGCAGTAGCTTAGTCCAGCTCTGTGCAGCTTGGCCGCTTTGCATTGCTTTTTTAATATTTTCTTTTCAAAACAAAGTTTCTCTGTACAGCCCCAGCTCTCCTGGAACTTGTTCTGTAGACTAGGCTAGCCTCAAACTCAGAGATTCACCTCCCTCTTCACCTCAAGTGCTGAGACTAAAGGCGTGTACCACCACCGCTAGCTTCTTCACTTTTTTACTTTTTATCTTGTTTGTTTGTGGTGCTGGGCTCAAATCCATGCTTTGGCATGCTAGATAAGCACTCTACTGTTGAGTGGCGTGCGGTTCACATACCTGCATCAACATCTCCAAAGGTTGTGTCCAAGAATCCTGTCTTAACAGACTTACCCTAATGGTCTTGTAGATGCACTAAAAATAAGTTTTTAGTCACTTAGATTCTGTTTTCTGGTGGTCTGGGAGAAGTCCTGTGTTTTGTGAGGATGCTTAATTAATAAGCTCTTGGCACCCTTGGGAGCTCTTAGTGTCCGTCCTGCCCCTGGGCTCCACTAAGACGGTTACAGCTTCTGCTACTAACAGAATCTGCTGCCACGCTGTCTTCCTTCCTGTCTGTGCCTTGTCACCTGCCCCGACCCTTTGTTGCATACCTCAGGGATTGAGCAAGTATCTACTGAATGGATGGTTATTATGTGTCTAACTTTTATAGACTAATTGTGTTCATTTATAGTTTAACCATTTCATCTAGAAACTTACCTAATACTGATTCAATGCTGAAAACTCACTTGGTATAATTGATTGCTCTGAAGAGAATGGTTACCCAGGCCATGGCTCCTCAGTTTTAGCCTAGAGGTGCAGAAGGGGGTGTCTGTAGTCATCTGCAGTATGTTTCATAGGCTAGCTGTTCGTCGTTCAGTCAGGACTGATTCCAAATCATTGTTTGAAAATATTTGTGAATAGCTATCACGTGGGTATATCACATATACTTAGACTTCAGATATGTATTTTTTAAAACAACTTGTGTAAGAGTCCAGAATCTGTCACAGATCCATTGTGGAACTTCGACCCATGGTAGGTGACAGATCAGAGACAGGGACTCCGAGTTCACCTGCCCTCCCCCAGGAGCACACATTTGGGAGTGTGACAAGACAAACTGTTTTGCTTTGCACTTTAGAGACAGGTTCTCAGACTTTGTCAGCCACTGTTCTCTGGAGTCTGCAGGAACATTGAGGACTAAGACACTTTTAAAGGGGGCTGGAGAGATGGCTCAGTGGTTAAGAGCACTGACTGCACTTCCAGAGGTCCTGAGTTCAAATCCCAGCAACCACATGGTGGCTCACAGCCATCTGTAATAAGATCTGATGCCCTCTTCTGGTGTGTCTGAAGACAGCTACAGTGTATTCAGAAATAATAAATAAATAAATCTTTAAAAAAAAAAAAAAAAAAAAAAAAAAAAAAAAAGACACTTTTAAAGGAGAAGCGCTTGGGCACCACCTCTAGACATGGAATCACTTCATCTGTTTGTAGTACAAATGCCAAAGCACCTTATGAGCTCGGTCTGTCAGAACTACTGTAGAACTTTCAAACATTTCAAATCAAGAAATCATTCTAATGCATGAGTCAGTGAAAGCACCATATATAAAAGTGTGCGTTTGTTTTTCTCTTCCCTACCAGGCTTCTGTGATGGTGAAAATGATGGCCATGGGGAAGGTATGAACAGGTGCTGAGGTGGGATGCTGATATACATGTATATACACATGTGTATACACACATGTATACATATATGCATGTATGTAGACATGTGTGTGTAAAACCTCCTTTCAATGCCTCGACACTTATGTAGAGGCTAGCAACTGTTACTTGATACTTATCTGAGATACTCTAAGTAGCTAGACATGTTCAAAGCCCTGAGAAAGGAAATGTGTGACTAGATGACAATGGTCCCCGTTACCCAGGTCCACTCAGTGCCATAGTCACGAGGTTATTCAAGGAAGCAAGGGTCCTTGCCACATGAAGATGGGAGTTAGTCAAGCACCCAGGCAGTTGTTCCACTGTCTTCTCTCAGCACTGCCTCAGCCCATTCAGGAAGTCACTGTGAGAGTGACTGATGGGCTTAAACAGTTCAGGGGAAGGGCAAGCCTGGGCTAAGGACGCAGCTCAGGTGCTCGACTGCTTGCCACGCATGTGCGAAGCCCAGGCTTCACCAAATGAGCCAGGAATATTAGTGCACGCCTGTAATCCTCCACTTGGGATATGGAGGAAGGAAGATCAGAAGTTCAGGGATAGCCTTAGCTACACATAGAGCTTAAGACTAGCCTGGGATACATGAGATCCTGTCTCAAAGAAAAGTGCAAATTTATTTTAAGATAAAATTATACATTTTACAGACACTGAGCTTCATAAAGCCAGTTAAACCCATGTTAAGAGATCTGCCGAAATATCACTGAATGCCGTCCACAGATGGGGCCCTACCCTGTTCACTCAGTCATTCAGTCCCGGGCACTGTTAGATCTTTATAAGCTGATCTGAAGCTGAATGACTAAGTCAGTCTGTGTGTCATAGAGACCAAGCTTGTGGAGGACATTGGCAAGGATGTCCCACGTGAGAGGCAGAGCCCTCTGACGTCACCTCGCACACGCCTTTTCTGAGCAAACCATTTTAGGTGTTGAATAAAATCATAAAAACTTGAAACTAATCCGTCTGATTACTCAGGGGAGGAATGAAGAAATGGCCTCGCCGGGCGGTGGTGGCGCACGCCTTTAATCCCAGCACTTGGGAGGCAGAGGCAGGCGGATTTCTGAGTTCGAGGCCAGCCTGGTCTACAGAGTGAGTTCCAGGACAGCCAGAACTACACAGAGAAACCCTGTCGC